CACACTCAAAAAAAGATCCATTGATTTCGCAAGTCCTGGACTGGGTGGGAAGGGGGTGGCCGGATATACAATTTGCCCCTGAGCTAATTCCCTTTAGAACCCGCAAGCAGGAGTTGTCAGAAATTCAGGGCTGCCTGTTGTGGGGGACAAGGGTAGTCATTCCTGCCTCATTGCAAGAACCAGTTCTAAGGGCACTGCACGTGGGACATCCGGGCATGGTGAGGATGAAGGCCTTGGCCCGAAGCTACGTTTGGTGGCCTGGACTAGATGCCCAAATTACCAGTTGGGTCAACGCATGCCAGGCCTGCCAGGCGACAAGGGCAGCTCCACCCACAGCCACACCCACCAGGTGGGAGGACGCGGGGGCACCCTGGGCCAGGGTTCACATTGACCTAGCTGGTCCCATGATGGGAAAGACTTTCTTGGTGGTTGTGGACTCATTTTCTAAATGGACCGAAGTGGCCATGCTGACTTCCACCACAACACAAGCCATCACAAGGGTTCTGACCCAGCTGTTTGCTACGCATGGACTGCCAGACACCCTGGTGTCAGACAACGGGCCTCAGTTCAGCTCAAATGAGTTTGCCATCTTCGCAGCCAACCTTGGCATCAGACACGCACTCACAGCACCCTTTCACCCTGCTAGTAATGGGTTGGCCGAGAGGGCCGTTAGATCAGCCAAGGAGGTTTTAGCCAAGCTGAGCATGGCAGACTGGCACTCCAAGTTATCCACGTACCTGCTAACACAGCATGCCACACCATGCCCGACCACCAACAAGTCACCTGCTGAACTTTTAATGGGCAGGCGACTCAGGACAACCCTGGACAGGTTGCACCCCTACTACGCCTCCAGCACACCCCTGGCATCTGACAGCCATGCCAGGGGTTTTGCCCTGCAGGACCTGGTGTATGCCAGGAACTATGCAGGGCAACCATTATGGCTGCCAGGGCAGGTAGTTTCTGTTACAGGGCCCAGGTCTTACAAAGTCCTCCTGGAAGATGGGAGAACCTGGAGAAGGCACATCGACCAACTCCGGAGACGCTGGACCTCGCCCGCCGCCAAGAGCCTAGGCAACCCGCCGCCGAACTACCCGGTCTACTCACCGCCTGCCGCAGCCGCCCCGCAGCACTACCCGGTCTACCAGAGGCCCGACTTTCCAGCCAACCATCCACCGCGCGTAGACTTACCAGAGCAGCCGCCAGATGACAGGTCCGGAACAGCCATCGTCCCTCCACAGACGCCTGGCACCGCAGAAGGCAAGAAGGACTGTGCTGCAGCCGCCCAGCCTCCAGAACCGCGAAGGTCCGGTCGCGAACGAAGACCGCCATTACGATTTATGGACTGCGCATGCGCGCGACCAGGGGGAAGGAGTGTTATGTATTTAGCACTTGACAGCAGTTCTCCTTCTGGTCCGCTGC